TTATTGAAGGGTAACTTGGCTAATTTAGCAAAGGTTGATAATGATAATGATTAAGTAATTATTAGATATCTGCTGAGGAAGGTTCAGCCAGCCAACAGCAGTAGCTTTAATCAAGGCAGATCCCATTGTCACCTCATCAAAATAGAGTGAATTTGTAACAGAAAGTCATGTAGAAAAAGAACACATTTAAAATGTTAAAACAAGGACACACAATAGGCAGCTAGTCCATGTATAATATATATGTCTGCCTTATTCTTTAGCTGCACTCTTATGTTCGTGTGACACACATCATCAGCCTACCTTTGTATTTACTTGCCAAATACACTTTGTTACTATGGTTACTCCCTATGGTCTGGGCAACAAAGCACTTTGTCAGCTACAAAGGGCAGGCCTTGTCTGGGGATAGTCTGGATTGTTGTGGGGGCAATTATGGTGGAATGCCTGTTCCAATCATAGTCATTACCACCCAGCCTCACCTGGACTAGCATCTGGAAGACGCTGCACGTATGCTTCCCCTTGCACTCTACTCATAGCCACTGCAAGGCTGCATACCACCAAACAGCTGTGCTCCTCTCATGCACATGTACACAATCACAAACAGTACTGTGCAAAAGTCAGAGACCATCCTTCATTTATTCAGTTTCCAGTGATCAGATATAAGATAATCCACTTGCATAAGGAAGGGAAAAGTCAAAAGAAAATACGTGAAAAAAATGCAAGTTTCCAAAACTGGAGTTCAAAAAAATATTAAAACATATGGAGAATTTGCAACAAAAAAGCTGTTGGCATTGTCAGAACAATGGACTGGCCACCTCAGAGTCCAGACCTCAGCATCACTCAATGTGTTTGATACTATTTGGATTGTGAGAAGCAGAAAATACAACCAACTTCTAAGACAGAACTTCGGAAGTGTGGAAAAAATCCTTAAATGAAAGCAAGTTTTCCAAAAAAGGAGGCTGTAATAAAGGTGAATGTATGAACACTCTAAATACTTCAGAAAAATGATATTAGATTTAATGTTGGAGGTATAGATAGAAACTATTATAACAACTGATATTAAAGGTTTTACTAGTATCGGTTACAAATTTTCCATAACAGTTGGATATGCTACCTCAAACACACACAAAAGACACACACACACACACACTCTCAAAAATGTGCACCCCTGCAGCTTTTAGCTACAACTTTTCGCATGCAGTGCGCGGTCTGCCCTTACAATGCTCTACTTCCTCTGGCTGACACTCACATATAGCCACACACCCACACATACAGACAAAACCCATTACTCAAAATCGCTGTTTTTCTACATCTGTCCATCCATTGCTCGTACTTGTCCATATCTACACTAGCAGAGTCTCTGTTCTCTCTCCCTCTCATCCATTTGGAAAGCAATGGAGCATGTGCCCATCTTAAACACTGTCATATTCTTTCAATCAATTCTAGCCTGGCTCCCATCTTCCACGAGCTCAGAGTGTTTCTCCTTATGCCTCCGTTCAGAGGGCTCCATTTGGGCTTCTTTGGCCTTTTCATCTCCTGGAGCACCCAGGTGGAATAAGAATACACAGTCAGCGCAGTCAGGGGCTGCTGACTGTAACCGAGCATCAGAGAGGTCTCGAGCCCTGCCAGCGTCTCTGTCTGTTTTCATTATGGAAGCTGCAGAGAATGTCAATACACTAATCATATGCTTCGTCACACAGGAGTGTACGCTGAGATTGGGGGCTTGAGCAAAGAGATCATCCTGAACTATCCATCATTCTCCCTCTGCCTCATAGCTCAGCACTGGCCTCCACAGCCTTCTCTGATCCTCAAGCCATTTGTCATTACAATAGTGAAACAGCTCCTCGAAATCAGAAAGCTCAAATGGTAAATATAAGCATAGCAAGAAGCCAAGAGTGTAGACACGCTGACCATAGACACTCGAATCACAGTGGTAACATCATACAAAATCTAGCAGGGGTGCAACAGTGCATTGAAACGTTGAGATGTTGCAAAGCAAAAACATCATAAGGTGCATTGTGGGGATCAGACGTTGTATTAATTATGACTCATGCAGTTGTATTGTTTGAACAAGATTTGGAAACAACCAGCGCTAATCAGCACCTCACTTCAGCATGTTGTTACCATGCGCCACATCTCCCCGCTGTAGTCGACTAGTAGATTACGCAGAAATAGATACATTCATCATTTTTCTTCATTCAAATTTTGTTCAAAATATTGTGACAATATTGAGATGTGCAATGTGAATCTAACCAAACAGAAGTCTGAAAGAAGCTAAAATGCAAAGATAAAATGCTAAAATACAAGGATAAAAAATTAATAAAGCTATACAAAGCCACAATTTAAAACTCCTAAACTTTAAGAACCAAACAACAGGTCCAGATCTCTATTCTTCACTCTCAAACACAACATTACATAATAGTTTCCATAGTACATCCTTAAAAATAAAGGTTCTTAAATGATTCTTGGCTTGAAAAAAAAACTTTGTAACTTTATCTTTCTATAGAATCGTTACATTTTGGGGGGATTCCATCAACTTTAAAATGTTCTTACACATTTTATATTTTAAAAAGTTAGACTCCTTAAAGAATCATCCATTAAGAGGTTCTTCAGGAAACCAAAAGAGGTTCTTTCATGGCAATGCTCCAACAGAAAGCACTGTAGCACCTTTATATTTAAGTGTGCAATGAGAAGGCAACTGACCACAGATACACCAACAAGCACATAAAACCTAGTGAGATAAGCTAAAATGCACAGATGAACCAGTCAGCAGGTCTAGACTTTCCTTGCTCTCATAACTACAGATGAATTTCATATTAGCTACTGAATAATTCACACTGGTTACTGCATGATAAGCCTTAAGATTCATAACTGAATATTAAGCCTAGAATTTTAAGGGGTTAAATGTTATTTAATGTATAAATGGCATCACTGAGACTCCAATCTGCTTCACGTTCAGTCCCCAACAAACGAGCTAATGGTAAAAAACAAACATTTGAAACAGCAATCCCACATCCAGTCCCTGATGAACGAGGTGCTTCTACAGCGAGAGAGGCAGAGCTGATAAGAGCAAAGCAGCAGAAGTGAGCTGTGAGAATGAGAGCAAACTGACTCACTTCCTCCCCTGTTGCTCTCCCCTCCTCCGCGCCACTCTAATTGCGCTCTAATTAACATTTCATTTACAAGAGAAGCGCTGCTGATCTAGCAAGCCGGCTTGCGTGTCGTACAAGTGGGCACGCAGCAGCCATGGACCAGGGAATGGAGATAGGGCTGGACATTACTCTCTCCTCCACCTCTATCCTCTGCTTTTTACTGGAGAGGTCCACTAATGATTCAATCAGAGGATAAAACCATGTGTTTTTCATATTTCATGAAATGTCTGGATGGATGGTGTTTACTTAGCAATGTGCATTGATTAACTCCAGTATTTGCGGATGGGGGGTTTGTTTAGATGATGAGTTGCGATTTGAGCTGAACGAGTAGCAAAAAGAGCGCACTGAGCTTGAGACATGCATCTTATAGGCCTCCTACTAATATAATTTGAACTAATTTTATCTAAATGGTGAAAATACTCAGACAATAGACCTGTAGCAGTGCCTGTTCATACTGTACCACATGCGTGGCTGTTTCTGTAGCAGTTAATGACTTCAAAGTCAGTGAGTTTGAAGTTCATTCTCTTTCCCGGACAAGTATTTGATGAATGCTTGAGTGTCTAAGGTAATAATTAAGTTCACTGCCAACAAAAGCACCAGAAATTCTTGGCAAGAGCTAATATTTGCAATGAAGCGAAAGGTGGTAACCATCACCATTTCCTATTTCTCCTCTCTTTTCCCTTGAGCATGCGAATGAGAGGGAAAAAACAAATCTATTTTCTATCTTTCCCTCCCAGACTTCTCTCTCAGGCACAAAGCAGGGCCTCCCTGCCTATCCGCTTGTTTGAGACCAAGTCCAAAGAAAACACGCGCAATTATAAATCATTCTGCAAAAATTAACCCTGTCTCCGTCTGAGGTCTCCTCTCTCTGTTGTCTGCATGACCTGGAAGTGCTTTTACAGGTGGCAGCTCAGACAGCGGATCTTCAGGCTGCGTCACTGACCCTCTCCACACAAGGAGAGGCCAGTTAATCACACTGCTTGTGCCGTGAAGAATGTAGCAAATCCAAGATATCCGTTCTTAATACATTCCTCCTGCACTGCTCACACAAAATTGGCTAAGAATTCACTACATAAGAAAGTTTATTTGAGATTACTTTAAGCTACACTATGTACGATTTGGGGATTTAGAGACCTCTATGGGGGAAATGTGTAATTGCATGCAAAGAAAGAACATTTTGTAACATCAGTTGTGCTTCGGACCCCTTCCCCAAGCGGATGATTCTGATGACTGTGAGTGTGTTGAAAGAGTATTCAAAATAAGAACTTGGACAAAACTTGTGAACAACCTGGAGGATGTGAGTGAATTATCCACTACTGTCATCATATCTTCATCATTATAATACTGATTTTGCATTTAAGGTCTAAACTTCCAGCCTGACCCTCTTTTATGTAAAGACGTATGATGAGGTCCGAAAACTCCAGTCTGACACGTCTGATTTTAAATGACTATTTCAGGCTTTACGGAGTGACTCGCAGCGGTTTAAAGAACACCAGATTTTAGCGTGTTTGTCCTGACTCAGTAATGCTACTACTTTCAGTTTTAACCAAGAAATCCAGTACAGTTTTAACAGCTCAATGCAGTTTGAGACAAGTATTTGACGATTTAGACACACAGCACTATGTCAACCTGGTGGGTAAAAGGTTCCATTACTTGATAGCTACATTAGCCTCAGTGTAAACCTAAAGAAGAATACTTGGGACACCAAATATATCTACACTGATCAACTACATTTGGAGTAAAACTGTACATTTTTAATAGTTGTACAATATTTAGACAGTGAAATATACTCTCAGCCTGAACAAACCTACTGAGTCTACTAAACCTACTCCGGGGAAGCACTAATCTTACCTGATGAAGAAAGAGGCTGCGGCTGAGGTAGGCTGGTTGGAGGACAGGGGTGCTGCTGGACCATACTGGACTGAACTCCTCTGTCTGGACGAGGTGAGGGAGACAGTGGAGACGGATGTGTCTGAGGGCATAGCCCGTTCAGTCTCAGCTACAGGACCCTGTGTCTGAGAGAAAGCGAGTCATTCAGTTATAGCATAGGGGGAAAACATCAGTGCAACAAGACACCAGCATACTGTAACATAAATATATCAATATAATCACGTAGTGCAAGCAGTCTGGTTATTTTGGATTTGATTACTGTGCATGAGTGTGATAAGCAAACATGAGCAATAATCAAAGATTAGGTTATCTATACACAGCAAGTCCTAGCAAACCAAAAACAAGACCAACTCCCAGAGGAGAAGCTGCATATGGCCATTAGAACAAGTGAAGGAGAAATAATTAGCCTCTGAGGATCTGTCCTCTGCTCAGTAGAGGCATGTTCAGGGCTCAAGTGGACAGGGACTGAACAGGGTCACAAAAGCAGCTGGAAAGAGAGAGACGCATAGGAAAAGGCAGAAGGTGGCAGCCCAGAACTAGGACCCCCAGAGTCCTCCTGAGCATGGGCGATGAGGCGGGAATAACTCCATGACCTGGGGTCAGCAAAGGAGGTTGGAAGCAGCCAGTGTGGCACAAGTGGAGGCCTAAATAGGGGACACATAAGACTGCCTGTGTACTTCAAGGGTTCTTTAGTAAATGTAATGGCTCTATAGAGTACCATGACAACTGAAAGAACCATCTGAATGTTTACATTTTTTTCTGCATAGTTGAATGATCCTTTTTATGATTCATGAGTCATTTTGGGTCATTTCTTTTAGTCCAGTCATCATGAAATTTACATACAATGTAAAGGACAATGGGTACTTTTAAATTATGTCAAAAACTGAAAAATGTCAAAACCTCAAAAAAGTTAAGTATCAGAATAGAAACTAGTACTATAAAGAACCATTTTTGTTGAGAATGTATGCCATGACTATCCAGACTGTGCAGAAAGCTCACTATTAAAGGCAAATATTTTCTTCTAATCTGAAATGTTAACTGTTTTGGTCTTGGACGACATCTAATGCAGGCTTCTTTAAACACAGCAAATATGCAGGTCTTCAAAAGATTAGCAATTTCTACAACTAATATTTAAAAAGTTCTAGCTTCCTCATGCAACCCAACCTTATTCAGTCTTGCGAGGCGTCTTTATTTAGCCCAGGCTGCCTCTTTGTCTGCAAGCTCAGCGAGGAACTAAGCAGCATAAGGCCATGATCAATATCAACTGCCAAAAGCTTGTTTTGTGTGTAAGCAGTGCACTAAGAGCAGCATGGAAGGCTGGGACATTTCCCAGAGTAAGCCAAGACTTAATCACGCTGTGTATTTGAAAACCTTGACTTTAACATGGCTTGTCATCTTAATAAGATGTATTTTGTCAGTGTGTTTCAGTTGCTGTACATACCGATTTTCTCCATGTTTGCCAGTCTCACAACTAAAATAGGATCATTTACAAGCTTTTTATAAAGCACATGCCCTCCGGCACATGCAATATCTCAACATACCCTGACAGCAGAACTATTTATATAGCTAAGACGACATACGAGCTGCAAGCATCAAAAACTTGGGAAGCTAAGAGGGAGTCTCACACAAGGCAGAGGGCACTGCACTAAGCCTCCATACAGTCTGGGTACTGTAAGGCTAAGTCAAGCTTCGAAAGAATGAACACTCGATTGTGATTACAATTTCCTGTGATGTTGTGACATGATGCTTATTAATAAACTTATATAAAACGGCCTGAAAACTTCTTCACTTGCTAGATACTGATACACAAACTAAGCCGTCATTATCAATTATATTAGTAAAAATATAATGTAGGAAATAAATAACCTTCAGTCTGATGATGTATTTTACCCTTTCATTTACACAAGAAATGGTCACTTTCCAGGGTGTTGATTTTGTATGCTGATGCTCACTGCTCTCACTGGCTGTTTCTGTGGAGGGGTGGAGCAGGGCTTCGGTAGACTACAGTATAGAGAGGCCGTTTCTATTCAACTATTTAAGCATTTTTGTGCTGAGAGGCAAACATATCATCATGTGGCAATCATCAATGCTAATTTCCGCTAGCGTACAAATGAGGTCTTCAACGTTGCAGCATATCGCTGCTGTCTGGACAAAACCTTGTGTCTTCAAATCGGTAACTTCACAGAAGAAAGAAAAAACATTCTAAGCTATGAATGGAAGTTAACAGAGCAAGATTTGTTTAGAAGTAATTTTGGAGCATTTCTACTGGTTCACTTATCACAAAATTTTAAGATATTGAAAAAGGCGACAGGCATTTTCAAATTCTGTTAAAAAATGGACAAAAAGGTTTTGCTCCAACAGCAACGATATGTTAAGTAAAGTAGGGTCAAGTAAGGTCAATGTGAACTAGCGAGGAAAATGCAGTACAATGTAAAAATGTAATGTACAATGTAAGTTTACAATGTAAAAAGACAAACGTCATTAAAGAATAGAATAAAAACATAAAAGCCTTTAAACCGGTGCATCTTTCTTACTGTAAGAGAAAAATCGTGACAGCCTGAAGACAAATGAAGAACTGTTACATTGCAAGTGTACTACGACTCCATCAGAAGTGTATAAAATCCCATTAAGGGCCTTGTGAGACACTTCATGAAGAACTCATGTGTTGACCCCATATCACCAGAGAGCAGAATGTTCTCCTACTCCAACCCCAGTGGAAAATGAAAACAACACCACGCTAGACCAGCGACATGACAAGCAGGGAGATCATGGCACGCTGTGCTCCAGTTCCACATAAGCTGCGATAAATAAAAACAGCGTCACACTTGTGCAAGTGGTGATGATTTGGACAGCACATAAAGCTCCTTGCACAGATACGGCAAGAGCAGTGCCAAGCCTTCTATCAAAACATGCACCCACACGCACCCGCACACACACATACGCACGGTGTCAAACTGCTGTCAGAAAACTCTACAACCCTGCGCTTCGAGAGGTGTGAAGCTTAAGCCTTTCTGTCAACCTGTTTTCATGAGTGACAGACAGAGAGAGATAAGCGTGCTGTAGCCTCTGGTCAGATCATTAGGCTACAGCTGCATATGGTGTTCATATCACCTCAGAGACGCAGCGAGAGGCACAATTATAAATGAGAACTGAGCAGTCAATTCAACCATGCATGCATATTCTTCCTCTATCTCTGTCTCTGCTGCTGTCTCGCCTCTTCTGAGGTGCAAGTCAGTCTGCAGAGACTCACTGATGACCCCTGCTCCTCTGCTCCCAGCAGGCTGGTGGGTCATTCCAGTCCAGATGGAATCCATGTGGCTAATTCCCCTTCAACTATGCTCTAATAATTTCACTTGCTGCTGAAAAAAGACAGTGGCTTTGCAATAAAAGGGAGACACTGATATGTGTATAAGTCCACTGACAATGGCAACACCCCAATATGAGCACAGACTTTCATATAATCGAAATGTTACCAAGTCACAGCAAAAACCTGTACAGTGGCAGGCCTGCCAAAGCAGTCTGGGTCAGCAAGGCTGATGTGTCCATTTTGGGATTGAACTTGAGGTTTGGTATCGGTAGATGTAAGACAGGCAGGCTGAATGTTCTTAACGTCAGGGTCCTGCCATATAGCCAGATTCTTCTAGCTGGCCAACTTAGTAACTTAGTAACAATGAGTTTGAAAAAAGCATTTGTTTTCCTCCAAAAGGTATTGACACCTGTCTTGACAATTGTCAATTGACAACTACTGATTATACTGTTATAACAAAGGGTGGGCAACATGATATCACATGACAATATGTTTATTGTATACATTGGTATATATATATATATATATATATATATATATATATATATATATATATATATATATATATATATATATGTATATATATACACACACATATTATCATCAGTACTTCTACTACACTGAACATCTATATCTACTGCAAAAAAGACTTGGGATTTATACCTGTGAATCGGCCTGTCACAATTATTACATCATCACCTGATTGCAGTTATTTGAGCAGACCTCAATTATTTAAGCTGATGGTAATTATTTCTCACAGTGGTTAACTATCACAGTCATATCACTGCTGTCAATACAAAACCTTTTATCTCCACAATGGTAACTTTACAGGAGAACATTTTTAACTTTAACGGAGGTTAAGGTAACCTAATTTTTTACAAGTAATTTTGGATTTTTTCTGTTGGTCTGTTCACAATGAAATTGTAACATCATAGGAAGGGAAACTGAAGTTTTCAAATTATGCAAAAAAAAGTAAAAAGTGACAAAAATGACACAAGGTTTGTCAGGACAGCAACTATATGTTTATGACATAAAAAACAGAATATGAATTGAGTGCATTTCAGCCATTAGTGTGTGGAAAATCCATATAAATAGATAGCTGTTTAAAATGCAGCTCTAATGTATTTTTAAATGTAGTTTTAACGTTTTGCATTTTGTTTATTCCAACTTGTTCACTAACCTCAGAAAAAACAAAATATCATGATACACATCATGGACTGTGAAAATGTGAAGTATCTTGATGTTACATATCTGATGTATTACCCACTGTGTGTGTATGTGTTTGCATGCACCCCTGTCTGTGTTTATTCAGCATCCAATTAAAATCCACTTCGCCCTTGACACTCATCGCTCTCTTCCTTCCCCCCAGTGTATGGCTGTCTAAGACTCAGTTGTTGGCTTTGCGCCTTGAATTTCACGTCTTCTCCTTCTCTTGTTCTCCAGCCTCCAAAGAGGCTCCTTCACAGGTGTCCCATTACCAGGTTGAACAGGCCCACAGCCTGAGGCGACACAGCGCCAGCACCGCTCTCTAAAGGCCTGCTGTCAGGGCCGGTCCGTCTCCAGGCTTTTGTCCGCCTCATCCCATCACTCTCTCCCCACAGAAATCACGCCGCCGCTCTTACAAATTAAAGCTCCTGCCTCTCGGCTCCCCGGCGCTCGCACTGCCGTTTTTGTCATTCTGCCGAGATGTCCATGTAATGAAAGAAAGGTAGCCTTTCCAAATCACGGCAGGTGCGTTTCAGCGTGGCGGGGGTAAGCATACGTTCTGAAGCCTGAGGGGACGCCACTACCCTTATGGATGGGGTGTGTATGTGTGGGGAAGCATACGTACGTATGAGCGTGTGAATACCACTAGGCTGTCGCTGCCGGCTTCCCCACCCATGCTGTGAGAGCAGTCCATTTCTGCAGCTTTCTCCAAATCAAAGCTCTTTATGCCATCTGAATGCGAGGCACACGCTGGCTGCTAAAAGCCCTGCCGGCCACCGGCTTCAGCCACATTCACACTTTTAACCTCCACCATTCATGAATAGGTGTACCTCCCACCAGGAACAAAAGAGGCAGATTGGAGGCAGTGTTTTTAAAACCAATATAAAAAACAAGCAATGAAATGAACTGAATTCAGAGCAATAAATAGCACAAAGACTCATAAAAAGCAACAGTGCTGGACGAACTGGCACCTGTGGCGCACCAAGCTTGTTTGTTTAAGCCACAGTGCAGCCATTCAGACAGTCCAGTGTGGAATCTTGTAGTGATTTTTCTTGATTTTTCAAATTGTTTAACACTTTGCTGTACTGCAGTTACACAACATCTACATAATGGTCCCTTCATAACAACTGACATAGACCTACACAAATATTTATGAATACTTATTTTTGTCATAAAGGTTGCCTTTGCCAGCCTTGATGTCTGACTGACATAACATCTATGTCAGGTAAATATCAATTTTTTCAAACATTAGACTGTGTCATGACACTTTCTTCGGTGAAATGACATAGGCTTTGTAGCTTCATAGCTCAGTGTATAGCTTGTCAGATCAGAGTGGTTAAATGAAAGTGAGTGTTTTCTGTGCCCCTTAGATAAAATAAGTTTCGTTTAACCATTATAATGATTTCAGCTATCACATCTTTAGGTCTGTGGCACACCAAGCTACAGTAAGACCATAGTCACAACAAGTCAGTTGGTAAAATATGTCATCATTTGGATGACACAACCCAACCAAAAACTGGATGTCGCCTCATATAGGTGTTATGTCTGTCTGACATCAAAGTTAGCCAATCAGCCTTTGTTTTAGACAGTAGCTATTGGAATAAGTCTTTGTACATGTTCATATAGGTTTATGTTAGTTGTCATGATGAGCTTATATAAGTGTAGTGTTATATAGCCTTATAGACCTACAGTGAATTGTTACCTTCAGTGGTTAAGATCTAAACAATGTTATTTAAAGTGGTTTGATGTGAAATGCACTGTTCTAGAGAAACGTTCAGAGTCAGAATTGTTCACAACAGTGATGATAGGAGCATTTAATGGTTCTCCATTATTGGAAGCTCTCAAATAAAATGGATATGAAAGTTGTCTGAGACATAGGTTTACGATAGTTTTGAGGGTTTCGCCTTAAATGTACTTTAAAAAATCATGGAGGAGAGATACATACAGGGCACTTTAAATAAAAATGTCACAGATTTTGCTACATTTCTTCATAATTCAGTCATTTAGATGTAAATAATGTCATTTAGAGCGGTTTGATGTGAAATATTGCTTTGTACAGTGGTGGCTAGTTGTTCTGTGTTTTTATATGTACTATTGAAAATGGTACAATAGTGATAAACCTGAAAAAAAGAGACTATTTTGCCTTATAACACCTTCATGTACCTGTCTGCCATGAATAGATTGTAAAAATGATACTTTTGGGGCGCAAATGCTTAAAGCTATCATAAAACACTGTCTCAGGCATCAGGCAGCGTATTCATAACTTGTAATAACATACTGTGAAGGGTCTTTTGGAGATCGTATTAACAGATGTCTGGGTCCTATAACCAAAAAATCTGGACTGGTAAGTTTGACTTTGTTTACATCTTAACCATTAAATTTTGCAGAAGTTAAAAAAAAACACTAGAATAGTAACCAAAAACTACTTTACCATTATCAACACTACATGCAGGTTTACTGGTCATTTTGGATAGTAAACGAATGGCTATATGTGCACTGTGCATTTTGTTACTTCTATTGTAAAGAAACCTAAGTCAGTGAGATTCTCTACAACGCACCACTTCATATCAAACCACTCTGAACGACCCTGTTTATATCTCAACATCTAAACTATGTAGAAATTTTGAAAAGTCAGGAGAATTCCATATTCTAACAGGCAAATCAATGACATGTAGCCAAAAGCAGGGAAGAGGGAACATGTCCATTATTACAACAGCTTTAAAACCTTTTACAGGCCAGAAATGCCTGCATTAACTGATAATTCCCACAATAACAAAGGAGGTGATTAAAATTTCTCATTGCTCATTCAGGCTGACAGGTGTGTAATTACACTGCTTCCACAACAGAAAAATCAATGAGACATAAAGCTCGAACACTCTTTCTCACTTCCTCTGACAAGGATGTTTGAAGTTGGTCCAAACATTCATAATTTAGCACTGCTCAGCAACACATATTCTGAACAAATGGTGGCATTGTAAATGAATGCCACCATTTACAAATTGATGGCTACATTCTCACTAAAACAGAATTAAAATAAAATGAGGACCAGACACAGAAAAAATATCCCTCAGTACAAAATAAAGACAGGAGTAAAGGAATAATATTTTGAGTGATTCATTTTAACCTTCAAAAAAAGTGATGGGACCTCAATTTTGTCCTTTTGTCAAATGTAATAATGCTCCAATTTGCTTCATCAAACACAATAATGCAATTTCAGGGTCAACAAAATCAAAACAAAGCAGAAACAAATGCCATTTTTAATTCAAAATGAATGGACAAGGCTAAAAGAGGACCAAAAAATCAAACAGAATTGTGACATTAATACTGAAGGGCAATATTCTTTTACATTTTTTTAATCATTTCACCTCAGAAATATATACAGTTTGTGATAGGTATATATCACAAACTATAAAGACTATAAAGTATATAAAGTAGCATGTTCAACATCAGAAATATAGAGTGTCACATACCGGGCTTGGCTGAGGCAGGAAGTTGTTGACGCGTGAGATGCTCCACATGCCCTCCAGGTACTGCTGCGCCTGGATGGTGACTGAGCTGAGCGCTCCTGTCAGAGGGCCACCTCCCACAGTCACCTGGACGCTGGGTTTGGTGCTGGAAGTCCAGCCCAGGCCACGCCGCTGCTCCCCCACAGCCACAACGCTGTGGGTTGGGTAGGGGATCCTGGAAGCTGGTGGTCTAGACGAGAGCGTGACTACGCTGTGTGTGGTCAGTCTGGTGGGCTGCCCAGGGAAGGTGCTGGCAGGCAGCGCTGGCATTTCTGCACCGGGGCACGGCTCCTGTAGAGCCTGCAGAGCCTGCTGCCTTAGTTGCTGCACTGGAGTGGCACACACATGGCAACAAGCGCCCTCATGTCCCCCCTGCTCCGACCAGACTGGCACCTGCAGCTGCTCAAAGAGGAAGGTGGCAAATCCAGGGTCCTACAGGAAGAAGGACAAAGCAGCAACTCAGAAAATATAGAAAAATGTCCACAATGTTTTTTGTTTTGTCACGGCCATTAGAAACAGTAAGTTTATAGGCAAGAAAAAAACATTAATTTAACATCTGTTAAAGAAAAGCTAATTAAACTATAAATAACCATGCTTCAGCGATCAGCAGCTTTAACTATGACTTCTAAGGGTTAAAAAACATAAATGCTGTGAATTTATCATGAAACGTTTGTAGCTGGCACTTTCAAAAGACACAAAACATTACTACAAAAAATGAAGTTATGATGTGTTCTTTTGGCAGTGACAATATTACTGTTTCTCAGATAAAACAGATCAGAGGTCTGAGGGAGTGAGAGACTGATGGAGGGAGTGAGGAATGGAGTGAGGGAGGGACGACAGCTGAGTCCAGACACAAATCTGGGTGCAGTGCATATTTACATATGATAAGACTCCCAGCTGGGAGAGATATGATAAGAGACCCAGTGTGGAAATAATCACCTTCCACTCAACAACACTGACATGTAGGCAATCTACCTCATGGTCTTGAGGTTACATCATATGTGCCTATTCAGAACATAGCAGTTCAGTAAGTAAACACCTTAATCCCACACATGCTCACACCTGTTTTAACTAATACTACTGCAGAAAAATAAAGACAGCACTACTAGGGCTGCAGGAAATTCCCTGTTGTGATTGGTACATATTGCAACTACAATGCAACTTATATTAAAAATATTAACATATCGTGTAAATATCATTATACAATTGAAATACCATTGTATTTTTGCCATATCGCCCATCCCTATATGGTCTGCATTATTTTTTAACCAAAATAGTTATCTGTTGTAATCATGTGCATAACGTCATTCACTAAAGCAAACAAATGGTCAGGAAGCTTACAGCATAATAAAACATTAGCATATTGCAGCCTTTTGTGGGATCAATGTTGCAAAGGCCAATATCGCAATAACAATAAACAAACATATTACATACTGTACAGTTTTAAATAACACATAGTAACTTAGTGTCTTACTTGTACTACCACCATATCATTTCAAACCTGAACTTAATTCTGAAGTACATCTAATGTGGTGTTAGTGGCTAAGCACTATTCCAATTATCCATGTTGCATCCTTATCCAATGCTATTCATCCTTACTATACTATTCAAAGGTAATTACTTAATTACATTTAGGTAATTACAAAGTTGGGCAGCATCATAACCCTTCAAATCCCAGGCTTATGACACAATAAGGCTTATTATTCAGTAAAACTACATGGACTACAATGCAAACTAACTGAGTTATTCTTAGTTTACAGAAGTGTGTAGTAAAACTTTGGCCCCCGGCCATTTAAGGGGTTAATTAAATTTACAATCAGTTTACATCCTGACTGGGTATCTGCAGTTTCAAGTCTGTGTTTCAGAATTTGTACATTTGTTTCACATCAAGAAATGACAAAAACATGTAAAGGATGGTTTGCAGATGAGCTATAATAGTGCTTTAATTCTACATACAGCAAATACATGTAAACATTTTTTTCTGAATAAAATCATATGTGGCAAACTTGCAGATGGATGACACCAATGGCTAAAACACAGACACACACATATATAGACACACACACAGAAAGCGGTCTCTTGAGGGCTATAAAAGGACCTAGTCTCTGGAGCAGAGGTGAGATACGAGCTGAGTAAATGTTTATAGGGCCTCTGAGTTTCACCCAGTGACAGTGGTCATCATGACCAGAGATAGCTGAGGCTCATTCACAGAGACAGATAATCAGCTGCCCGCTAAACTGTCCTTCAACTGCACCACACACATACTGCATTTAGCAAAAGAAAGGCAATAACTGTGTGTAAAAGTAATGGGGTATGGACTGGTGCAGTCTACTGTCACTGTCTTGTAGAGCTCCACTCCACATCCCTCAGCTCTAATGTAGTGACCACTTCAGCATCATAGTGGGCAATATACAAGATCAGCACTTTGGATTGGATTGCATTAATCTCTCCCACTGAAACTGTATCTGATACAACCTACTCATTTGATTTCTCTCATTAGTCTTACAATAAGCGCTTGGTTCTGGGATTTAGAAACAAAAGACTTTGAAAAATCACTTAGTCTTTATCGTAGATCATCCAGTTCTACTGGGAGCAATATCAAAAGGCTTGTGCCTGCTAATGGTGGGATTTGTTAAACAGACTCCTTATGGAGTCACTCCGCTCAAAAAAAAGTATGAATTTTTAAAGAGGATTTGAAAAGGCTCCCGAGTGGCACAACTGGCTCAAAGAGGTGGAATTTCAACGATGACACAGTCATCCATGCAGTGAGTAGGGTTACATGAAGTATACTTTTTTTATTACAACATGATAAACATTCAAAAATTCTCACTAACTTTTAATACCTGCAATACTTTTTTTAATAGGCTAACAACATGCTGATGTAGGCAAATTTAATTGTGCATGCTAATTTGTCTCTGATGGGCAAGGACTGCACATGTGGAACCTGTGAAGCTCAAGTGACAAAAGTGAAAAAGACATATTCTTTCATGCCCTCACTTATGGATAACACAGAGTCACAGAGTAAAAACTGGGCCACCCAGCAGACACAACAATACCAGTATACAAAAGGTATTATAAGGTCACTTCACTGCAAAGCAGCCAATACCACCAACTAGGCCAACATCTGACTGACACACTTCCCAACCTCTACAATAATCTCAGTTCTCTTCCTGTGTACCATCTTATGAATCCCTTGTGACACTCGTAGTATTGCTTTGGTTTTCTAGTACTGTGACTACATTTGCTATCAGTATAAGTCAAAATTCTGGTGTTGTGGCAATCCTGTCAGAGAGTCTATTGCCTCTTTTCTACTTAAATGCCAATTGCCTCCCACAGCCAACTCATGTCCTTCCATGCCAGAGCCTCTGAGATTGGTTCCGGTTTCTTTTTCCATCTGCTGTGCTGCTAAATCAGGCCTAACCCTGCATTCAAATTAGCAGGCGACAGAGTGACAGAGCGTCAGAGCGACAGGCGATCTGTCATTTCCTACAGAAGTAGGCAATTGGTAGCTGCTATTTAGAAACAAGCAACAAGCAACACCGTGCTAGGGTGAGATGTTCTTAATTTTATGCAAGTGAGGTATGATACAGTGAAGCAACAATCTAAATGACCAAGCCAACAAATTTCTTGGACCAGTCTGAGGCACGAAGGCCCAAGGTCCCCAGCCTCTGCTCTCAGAAATTTTTGTTCCTGCCTATTCCCAAAAGTATCATGCAAAAAATGAGAGAAACTTATAAACCTGTAAACCTACAACTAGAGTTTATATTCTAAACAAAACAGCGGTACATATATAGTAGATATTTTTATCATTTCTTGTCAGAAGCTGGACTTTGTACACACCCACATTCGACAAACAGAGCAACTTTGAACACACCAACTAGAGAGAAACTTGGGGCAACATTAGCAACTTTGTTTATGTCGCCTCGTAATTTGAACGTATGGTAAGAAGTACATAATCTGGAGTAAACAGCAGCCCAGTGATATATATGTGATAAAGTATTTGTCAGCACTTCCCATTCTGTCAACTGACAACATGGAGTGTTTTCTTTTTTTTAGGTTTAGTTTTAGTATTATTTTTTCAAATAACGCTGGATGAGGCATCATAACAGTGGCTTAAACAAAAAGAAGGTCAGTGATTCCTTATGCCGTCTGCCCAAATGATTCTGCTCTGCTGGGCATGATTAGCTAACCATGCTGGGCAAAATTTGTAAGTTTTCCGTGCTAAACCATGTCCAGTTAGAAATGTCTTTGGAATGGTTAGTCTCCATGTTTGACTGTGAAAAGGACAGCATAGTTCCTCTCTCAGGTCAACATATGAGACTGCATTAGAAGCAGTTCAAAAAAGAACACGTAGCTGGTTTTATGAGTCTTAGAGAGACTGCATGCTTGCCGTCACACCGACAGATTGGCAAATGTTAAATACATTTAGCAGGTGGCAATAATTGGTGGCAGCCAACAATGCAGAGTTTTTTGGGTCAAAATCCAATTATTGAAAACATTTCAAAGATACACAACACCACACACTGTGGCCTGAGAATAAGAGTCTACCCAGAATTATTGCTGGAGGCCAGTTCACAGGCTTCCATGTTCACAGTACCACACACACACAATACGCATGTACACAAACTATCCTTCACAATTTTTATTCCTTGACCTTCCTCCAGCACCTCAGGGCTCTTTCCTCGTGTCACAAATCAACCCTGCTTTGTATTCAACAGCCTGATCCCTCTGTGCATTGTTAAGGGTTGATTTAGAGAGCATAATAACGTTTCATCTGCTGACCCCATCTGCTGCTGGTGCATTGTGGGGGTTGTAGGCTAGGACATGCCAGCGAGTCAGCGAGACTGCAGACTTGAGTTAGTGGGAAGGTTAACTGGAGCTGTATTGTGTTAGAATGCTGCAGCTCACTGCAGGAAGCAAGAATGGAAAAGTGAGGAAAATTATAGATGCAGCGAGAGAAGCAGAAGAGGGTGGTGGAGCAGAGAGACAGAGCAAATAAAAAAAAGGAGAATAAGAGAGATGATGAGGGTTAGACCCCTGGCCTGGGGGTTTGTAGGCCATTGTGTTACTTCATTGCCAGTCAGCTCAGATTTTTATGAAGCTCTGGGGATGAATGAAAGCCTACACTATCTCCTGATTAGGAACGCTCTGAAGAACAGGAGAGGGAGCGGCAGGATAAATGACTGCATGCGTGCCCTCGGTCTGTCTGCCTGCCGAACTAATGATGATGAGATATAGGCAGATACAGGGCTGAGAGAGAGGGGGTATGATGAAAGAGAGAGAGAGAGAGAGAGAGAGAGAGAGAGAGAGAGAGAGAGAGAGAGAGTGAAAGAGAGGGGAGAGAAGGCAATGGAAATGGAAATACAGGTGATTTGAGAGAGTGAGGAAGAGAAATGGAATAGAGGGATAGAGGAAAGACAAATGAAACAATA